AAAGGCGAAAGCCTCGGAATTCCTGCCTTTGGATACGAACGATTTATGTATTTTAGAAGCCATTGACGAATGACCATAGTTCAAGAGAAGAGAACGAATCTACACGTTAGAAGAAATAAGAAGCTTCGTACGAACATACGTGACAGATGCGATTAACCTTGCGAATTTGAACAAAAATGTCTAATCCGTCGGCTGGGAAAATCTAGAAACACCAAGAGGAAAATAATCGAGACACGCGTGATATATGGTGCAATTTCGGTCGTTCGATCACGAAAAATTTGATTATCCGATTTCTCGGTGATTAAGCAGTTCAAGGTCCTATTGTACATTCATTGACAGGAGAAAGAAAAGTATCGAAGAACGTGGTGAAATCTCGGAACGATTCGCCCCGGTTGGTCCCGGAATTTTTCAACGACATCCGCGGCCCATTGTGGTTGACTAATATACCGCTACAGCGCGTTAACCTTCCAAAGGTAGGAGGAAGGTGCGCCACACCCCCGTCTCTCTTTCGCCGTGAACCACGAGAGCAACGAGAGATACAGCAACAATGGCCTCCGTAGATGGAAGATTGCACGGAAAGGTGCAACGTTCACGTGCAAAGGTCGCCACGGTTGAATCGGGTAAACGAGGATAATGTCGTGGCCCGACTATCATAGGTGAATTTTATTGCCGTGAAAAAGAAGGCTTGCCGCATCTTAGACGCGTCTGCATGCGAGATCTGCTCGGACCGTGAGCCTATTGTCCGCGAATAGAAAGAAAGTCTTTCGTGCAACGCTGGGATCTAAATCGGTCGAGAACGTTGTGTGCGAATTGCGAGGTCGTTTTTCTTTTCTTTTTTTTTTTTTTCGTTCTGTTTCAGATCGTCTGGATTGTTTCGTACATTTTTGCTACACTTTGTTGTAGAGTGAGAGTTGCACAGAATTAATTTCCTTCGATTGGAATGTACACAGGTGCATACGAATGTTCAACGGTTTCTATGTGGATAATAAACGAAAGCCATTCAGACTTTTCGCAACTTGTCGAATTAAATTGTTGCAAGAATGTATGAAAAATTTCAAACGCGACAGTACACCGTACTAAAGCTACTCTGTAAACGTGATGGAAAAGTAAAGAAATGTGATGTTTGAGACGTGATATTTACACACAAGTCGGTATAACGTTATACTTAGAGCCGCGTAGCAAAGTTTAATCGATGTAAATTAAATCGTAACCGAATATACGAAATTTCACGTAGCGGAATTACTTACAATTCGCCTATTCGATCTAAAAGTGCAATCTTAGTATCCATATACGAAACGATAGATCGTAATATATACGTGTAGTTATTCGCATTATTTCACTCTCTTTCGTAACGTGCCCAAACTGTGTACAAATGCAATATGGGACGCGTTACCTTACGCGTTTACGGGACAAGATCCTTAAGGATTATTAATGCGTACCATCGTTTACGCCAAATAAAAATCCAAGAGGTTCGTGAGAACGTAACATTTTCAGCAACTCTAATAACGTATCTTAACATTGCTATCCTCTTCTACTTCTTCTTCTTTGGCTAATTCTCGACACGTTGAAGAGATTACAATAAGGAGAGAGAGAAAGAGAGAGAGAGAGAGAAAAGAAAGAAAGAAGAAATATTGTTAATTGTTCCTTGAAATAAACTGTGAAGGATGTTAACGACTTGAATAAGCAATGGAGGCTGAAGCGAATTTCCTCTCGGCACAGAATCGATTCCCGCCAACTGCGATTCATCAACGACAATCGTTACTCGTGATTCGCTTAATCGTAAGCATAATTATATCGTTACCGCGTGATTCAACGACGACAGACGTTGAGAGAGCCGTCGCGCCGATTTGTTCACGTCGAATAATACTCAAGGTACCGTTGTATTATAAAACGATCCCTTCCAATTACGCTGCACTGCGTTCTTAATTTAACGTTACTCCCCCATGTGTTTATAGATATATACATATGTTATAGATAAATATATATATATATGTATCATCTTTTTCTCTCACACCCTATACCTTAGTTAATACGAAGCCTAATCTTAAAGGACAACGGAGAACTTCGATACTGTTGGCCGTTGTCGAGATGGCAAACCCAATTCCAAGGTTACCATGGCAACGAGATATATCTATTACGAGATACTTTCAATATAAATAATTAATTAAACGAATAAACTAAATAATACTCAAGCGGGGCTGCACGGTGCCTGATGAAAAGAAAGCGACAGGCCAAGCTCGCGCTTTATTACTCATAAATGGATTCTTCTTTCTCATTGAATTATATGGTAATTAAACGAAGATTAACGAAAGAAAGGAACTTTAATAAAGAATCTCGACTATATGTATATAGGAAACTGTACGTGTTGGCCTATCCAGTACAAAAGACAGATCGTTATAATATTATAGATCGCAGATTATTGTGTTATGTGAATAATTACATTTTATGTTGTTAACGAAGTCGTAATATATATACACACACACACACATGTTTCTATACGTATACAGATACATATACAGATATGTATGCATTTAACGTTAACACAGCTCTCTCTCTCTCTCTCTCTCTCTCTTCTTTTTTTTAAATTTCTTTTCTCTATCTTTCCCTGCTCCATCTCGTCTTACTCTTGTCTCTTTCTCTGTTTCTTACCTTTCTACTTGTTTGCTCTCGCCATGCAGCTGGAGAAGACTACTTGTAGAGGATCGTTTTTGTTTTGTACTTAAGCGTGCTCGTACGCACCCGAACTATGTTTTGTACCACGTGAAGAATGGCAATAAAGTAGTTGACCAATTCCTTTTTTTAATGCTGCGTGTATGTATCTTCCCAACTGATCCTTATCGTGAAGTACCATCCATCCAGGCACTCCATGTCGTCCCCATGCATACTCCATGTTACTAGAAAGCATCAGATTTGCAGGTAATATTTTTCACTTCAGTCAGGCATATTGTCGGTCATACAAAAATTAGAGATTAATATACTTGGGTATTAAGGATAAACGCTTAACTATAATAATTTCATTTGATAGTTATTATTAAATAGCATTGTCAGAAATACTATTCAAAGGAAATCGATTGAAATCAAGGACTTCTTTCTTGTTGAAGTCTGTTTCTGCACGAGCTGCAGTACGATACACAAGCTTAAACTCACGAACGTGGATAAACGTGTGCTAGGAAATTCCTAGCCGTATTGCTTTCCATCTTTTTTTACTTCTTCTTTTGATATAAAAGGTTTCGCAAAAGACGTAAATAAAAAGAAAGAATTGCGTTACAGTTTAATATAAACCAGAACTCGTACTTTTAAAAGTACTTGAAAAGTAGCTCCAAAGAAATTTCACTTCACTCGGAATACCGTTTACTGCTGCCGAGCGAATTTGATACGCACGTGCGCGTATTCAAGTTACATTTCATTTTTACATTTTCTGTCTAAAATATGCGACTTCTTGTTTAGATATCATTAAAGACCATGATAAGTAAGAAATCCCAGTAATTCGTTTCTTGCGCTTCGGGTATCTGAAATTTACTAAGGAATGAATTTACAAAAACGAGGTTTATTTGAAAATAAATATATAAGACGATGGTTAAGATAGTCTATAAAGTGGTCCATTTATTATAAGCAGGAAACTGGAACACTCGAAAGTAGAGTAGTTTCCACAAATTGTTTCTTATATTAGGACGGTAATCTTAAAATATCATACAAAGTACATATATACTTAAACAATATGCAAGATTATTCCAATGACACACCGTATCATGTAACACAAAAAAGAAACTCTGAAACATTCTACATTCTGTATAAAGGGGAAAACAATCAATCATAAAACAAAGAATTATTTCTAATTTCTATTAATAATCACACAGTGCCAATGTATAATGAATTACGTAGAAAATGATTGTCAAATATATAATAATATTCCGTGGAATAATCTTAATCTAAATGAACAATCTTATCTAATTAACTAGAAATCGTAGAGACCCTACTGAAACTAGCAAAAGAAAGGGAAACTGCAGAAATTTTCATAAAAAATATATTATTAAATTGCCATTATAAGTACGAATAAGTTCCATATAATTAAGAAGCACACATAGATTTTTAATATGTAACAAACGTTTAGTCACGCCCTGTACTATGGGTGAAAAATCGCTCTTCACGTGTAGCATTTTTCAAAATAATTTATTCTCCAATATGAACAAGTAGATCGTGTAGCAGGTTGTCGATGACGATACGAGCGCAGATCTTACGACACATTCGCAGGGATTAGATCCAGTTTCAATGACATATAGAGTTCGTTAAATAGGCAGAAAATGCTTTATGTATACGCATTTATAATATCTGTGTCCGACTTCTTAAATTAACGAATTTCTTAAACAAGCAAACGCGCTCTGGTCATCGCGCGTCCGCGCCACATAATTTCATTCTAGAGCTTAGTAAAAAATATTCTTCGCTTTCCTAGACAATTTGCAATTAGATCGGTCTTACACGTGTTTCTTTAAAAGTCGACCTTAAGGCTCAATGATCACGGAACACGGGAAGCCTCGCTGTACCATTGACTACCGTACCAAGCCATTCTTATAATCCTCATAAACTCTTCAAGGCAAAAACAATTCTTCTTAAATATAGTGTAACGCATAACTCGCCTTCCCATCGATTGGTTCTATAAAACTCTTTTTCGTTGTATATCTTTAAATACCTGTTTCGAATTTTTAAAGACTTTTGAAGATTTATAATAGAAAAGTTAACATCCATCATAACGACAATTATTACGGAGCAACGAATAAAAATTATCGAATATTATTTTCAAAATCGACGCTCCATTGTTCTAATGCTATTTTAAAGAGATGCCAGGTACATTTTCATTCAATGGGTGTGTCAATTATCAGAATAGCAGATTTTAGGGCAGTAGAAACTCAAGATTTGAACATCAATAAGAATTGCATTCTGTAAAGATTATAGTTTGGTGTAATGTTATGTCGCAAAAAGAAATCAGGTCGTATTCTTTTCTCTTTTTTTTGTAATACTTGTACTTGCTTCTACATTGCAATTGTTTTCAAAAGTCTGAAATAAGAATTTAAAAATATATAATAAAGAAAGTTGTACAGCTCTTAAATGGGAAGGAAAGTGACTTATCGACCATTCTCTATATGTTCAAGCATAGTGCTGAAGAATTTGATTCATTGCGAACATGTATAACAGTATCGCGTTTATTAATTCTCACAACGATAAAATTTCGATTTTGAACGAAATTACATGGTCGTAATAGCCGTAACAGCTTCGTTATTTAAGATCGATATTAGTCTTGCTTAAATGCAACGAGTTATAAAATGTTTCATAACGTAATTATAAGGACATTTATCAACGTACAAAGATAGATACCTATTCAGAAATATTTTCGGGAATATTTGAGATGAATCGAATAATTGTGAAACAATGGCGGCCACCTGTGTCCCGCGTAAAGTAATCCTGGAAACTCTACAAATGTTACTGCACGAATTCGAATTATTTTCAAATAGACTGCACGATACAGATCGATCATTTTCTATCACACGAAAATAGATAGTATTGTCGAAGCACGAGTCTTATCGAAGAAGATTGCTAGTCAGAATTCGTATGTCATAGGAATACATCGAGGTATCGTTTCTGATGTTAAGATTATCGATATCCGGAAAGGGAGCGAGAACGCCACCAGAGTAAAATATCTATTCAAAGCGTGTGTGCCTACTTTCACGAATTCGTGGTGCAAAAACAGGTTGAACCGCTAAACGTTAAGGTACGTATCCAACGATATATTATATTATACGTTATTAAAATCGCTGTAGTGCAAATAAGTTCGATAAAGTAAAGAAATCAATTGCCATCTTCTTGAGTAACATGTTCCCGATACGAAGAAACGCAAACTATTGATACAACGCTGATAAGCTTGTCACCGTAAAAGGATCAATTAACACAGAAATCCTGCATGTTCTTTAAACAACAAAAAAGAAAAAAGAGAAACAAAATAAAAGAAACGTCACATGTTAAAAATCAACAAGATTTCTCCACGCATTTCTAAAAATCAATCCGTAAAAAAAAAAAAAAAAAAAAAATAAACAAAAATAATCACTAAAGAAAAGAAAGGATCACAAATTAGCTTTTCTGTTCTCAACAGGGCATATCGTGCAACTTATTAAATCACGAAGAAACATCAAGTTGCTTCCAACAACGTCCACTGTCCTACACAGCTTTGTGCACGCAAGGAAACATCCAAAATACACAAATTGTTCGAATCGTTGCATCATACCGATCGATATCCGCGAAGCCAACTCATTTTCCACGACTGACTTGACTTTTTTTTTACTTTTTTATTTCGTTTTAATAGACGTTCGATTACGTAGACGACATCGCATAGCCCTGATTAATAGCAATACGCAGTGGAAAGTGATAGTTTGTAGCATAGGGCGAAACACCGGCATCGTGGATCGACGCGTCAGCATGTTACGCAGAGAAGAGGCAGAAATCGATGTAAACTCGAGATGCCCAACTCTAAGACAGAAGTTTGTCTTCCGGAATGGTCGGGCTGGTAGCTGTTGGCGCCGAGCGTAACGATTCCGTGTCTCGAAGCATCTCATTGAAGCTTTGCATTGAGCTGGATCTTGAAGGCACGACTTTCGTCTGAAACATAACGTACGATATTAACTATCTTCGGCGTCGGTTTTCAAAAGCTACAAAACAGCTATCCCCAAATCTCTGTTGACCCTGTTCTATTAATCCGTTACATACGAAACAGCCGGATTTCTTTCTTTCACTAACCTCTGTCATCCGATCCGCATTTGTTCTTCGTTTTCGCATCTTCACCCGCTCTTTCATCAATGCAAAATTCCACATATTCATACGCACACACGACGCCGTTCATCTTTACACGCACTCGCGTACTATGTTTTCTTTCTCTCGTTTAACGCAAATCAGTGTTAATATTATTCATAAAATACGTCAACGTGGTCCTATTAAATTAAACAATTGTCAACTAGCTAAGAACAGCCAGTCTAAAAATAAAATATTTCGAAGCCTAAGAGGATCACGATGCACAAGTTGAAAAAGACAAGTTGAATACACGTAAGTTAAAACGAACACAAAGAATGAAATTTCACACAGCGAAATTATTCACGATTCGTCTATTAAGTCTAAAAGCGTAATCCTGGTATCCAAAGACGAAACGAGTCGTAGCGTATGAGTCAACTTGTTCGCATTATTTCATTCTCTTTCGTAATATGCTCAAATTACGTATAAATCCAATATAGGACACGCGTTATTTTATTATTAAGATCTTTAAGAAGTATCAACGCGTACGATCTTTTACGTAGAATAAAAATCCAAGAGGTTCATGAGAACGTAACATTTACAGGGGACTCTAATAACGTATCTTAATTAACATCGGGTCTTAGCTATCTTCTTCCGATCATTGTGGACGCGTTAAGGAAATTAAGAGGGTCACGGCCCGCAGTTTAACAAGCCAGGCTTTACAAGTTTTGTGTTATCATTTTTTAAACGAAACTTGGTGGAGCTATGTGTCGCTGTCTACGGATAAAACGACAAAAAAGATCTTGCCAAGATTAGGAAACGCTCGAAATTCGCATAAAAATCAACAATCTAGAAATGGGTCGAAGAAACGCGACAGGTTTAAAGAAAGCTCTTCTAAAAGGTTAAAAAAGAAGCGGAAAATTCTTTCAATCGTCGGTAACAACCTTCATGTTCTCGTAGGCAGATCCAACTCGTTCCTCTAGGGAACGGAAGCTGTCGGAGTTACGCATCTGGCCGAGCTTCATGGATAATCCACTTCCGAAGCCGCCAAGAATGCTGGTCGTCTTCTCAGCCGTGGTCTTGAATACAGACTCTGTCTTCTGGAATCTGTGGAAGGAGGAAAATGATAAATATTCATTTTACGCGGAACTTGTTCTGTCCAGGCAAGGTCGCGTTGTCCGTGGTCACAGATGCTTTTGCTCGGGACTTCGATAATGACTCAAGCTCGATGTATATGTCATGCATTTTACTTTCACACACACGGCAAGCTCCGCAATCTCGTAACCACACATTTACATCGCGTTATTCACAAGCATTCCGTGCTCATCGTTAGATTGCCATCATTAGAAAAGCTTATGCTTCTCTGCTATCGTTACTTCTACGCAAGCGGCTAACAAAAGACGCTGTTTCGTGGCAACCCGAGGTCGATACACCGACTTTCTATCTTGGACACTAATTAGCTTAGCGGTGCGTGCCTTTCTATTTTTCTATCTGATTATTTCTCGAGCCTCTGTACATACTTCGTTTCGTCCACGTTAGAGCAATTAGAACAACCTGAAGCATTGTGAATTTTGCGCGAGTGGCGTGACAACGTGCAAGGGAACATCGTGGCAAGGGGAAGTTATGTCTAATACGTATAAATCGCGTTAATATCGTGATCCAAAATTTCTCTCGGACACAACCCTCAAATGGTGCGGCGCGATCAGGTCGCTCGCAAACGTAACGTATGTCCTTCCACGTTCAGCGCGTTGTACTTCTCGTTGATTGCTTTTGGTACTCTTGCGATGCAGAACGAATGGAGGATTACAGGAGCCACAGGTTTTATTCATCTCACGGAGGAACGATTTTGAAATTCGAGATATCGATCGATCTCATGTTAGTAATTTCTCTTTCATCGTTTAATTTTCCTATTGAAATATGTGGCAACAACTGTTTACCAGTGTCTCGGACGTTTTAGAAATATCGCTCGTCGTTACATTATATCGTTGATTTGTTACGAAACTACGTTTATCAGCTGTTTCTAAAAAGCTCGTATCTTTGAGTTTAACAAGATCTTCATCCGAGTTATGTAATCACGTAATTTTCTACGATATAATAATATCGATGTAAGCACGTTTTCCCTGTGTGTTCCTTAATTGTTAACGGGACTATTTCGCGATCAATTATCTATTTATTGCTCGTTTATCGACGATCTGACTCGCGCTACACCAATCGAGGATTCTAAGGAAGAAAAAAGAAGAAAAGAAAAGAAAGGAAAGAAGAAAAGAAGCTTATTTTAGTCGAAGACGATTACGGTTAACAGTCGATGGAAGAAATGTTGGATCTGAAAGGATAACACGATTGCTTGTGTACTTACAAAGTGTTCTCGGTGACCGCCTTGCTGAACTGACCGAGTTTCTCGCCGACGTTCTGATAACTGAATGAGAACCCAACCAAAAGTCAAAGAAAAGTGTTCTACATGTCTGAAGAGCAGAAGTAGCAGAAAATAAACGAAAAAGGTACGGAGGGCTGGCAGCCGTCACCTTACGCGCAATTAAAAAATCAACTTTCATTAGACGAGTGCGGATATCCATGTAGTCCGGATAAAATCGAGAAAGTAGAATAAAATTTATTCGTCTGACGTTTTGTTTTTGAGAAAATGAAATTCGGAAGATTCCAGAGCAATTTTTAACTAAACACGTTTGCAACTTCATTTTCTCAACAACGAAGTCTGCCATAGAAAAATTTCATTTTACGTTCCTGACTTATTTCCACGTGTTTACTTATTCCTATTAATTACTCGCTCGTGCCCAGTTGGTAATCAGTCGAGTTCGCGTTAATCGATTAAACAAACAGTGAAATTCGATTTTATCGGATACGGAAGCTCGTATGAGAAAATTTAATTCTATTCTTTTCCTATTATTTCGAATTTGTTTGCTTCCATAGAATTAACATCGTTGTCGATTGTACTACGATTACATACTGACACTCCCTGTATTCTATTACATTTCTATCATACCCAACTATGACACTTGGTCACGATGATATAAGAATTCAGAATCGAACCCGCCCCGTTTCTTCCAATCCGTTTGAAACCCGTCAGATACGATGACAATTCTGTCTATCCGCACACATCTAACTGTAAGTCGTTGATACACGTGTAACTGTACAAAAACTTACGTATTATGCATGCGTTTCGTCTATCGCGGTATCTTTACAGGTGATTTAAAAACCTGTCGAACGAAATAACAAAATGGGATCTCTCAACAACGGACATCTACTTAAATTGCGCGACAATTGAGAATGCTTTACGAAGAGACAAACGAACCGTTCATTTGCCAAATTCGATCAACATGGCGAAACAAAAATTAACAGAGAAAATTGACGAAGTTATAAAGATAGTTTGGCGGTGAAATTTCAAAGATTTCGTAGGGTAAAGTTGATCGTTTTGGCCCGTGAACGGCACGAATAGACGCATCGATTCCGATAAGGACGAAGTTACAGCAACCTCGACGTCATTTCTAGTAGCGACAAGCTTTCATAGCTCTAGCTCGAACCGCACAAATTGTTCGCGTGTGGCATTCGTAACTGTGCTTGAAGTCTCAGGCATCAGCAGCATGCGGTAAAACGAAATTAACCTGTTAACAGAACAGCTACAGTATAATTAAACCGTAACTGCTACGTAAATTGGAAATTATACATTGGCTCTCTCTTCGATAGAATTTTCAGTTACCCTAACAAAAAGTTGAATCCTTTGTACTGTAGCGGCGCTGTCACAGCAGCGTTCATTGATATAGTATTAAAAAGTTTCGCTTTGTTTAACGATTTAAAAAAAAAAAAAAAAAAAAAAACGGGGA